AAGTTCACCACTTTACTGGAAACAATTCTGTAATACATAGTGGCACTAGCCTCCATAGATCCCTCCAGTTTAAAACTGAAATATAACTCTGACTCCTGTCTCTCATTTACCATAAGCATCCCAAAATGGGTAGAACTCAACCCCTTAGTTTTCTTTTCCTTTTGCACAGCCTTACTTCAGACCTTCATTATTTCAGAATTAAATTATAGGCATCCTCCTGATTGATCTCCTTTCCCACAGCTCTGTTTCCCTCAGATTCATTTTTTATGCCTGTAGTGTAATGTTACCTAGAAAAGTGCTTATATGCCCATGTTCTTCAAAGCTTAAAACCTTATGCCCAGTGCTGGAGAAGTAAAATTCCAAGTTACTTTATTTAGCATGACATGTAAAACCAAGGATAATCAACCTCTAATCTACCTCTAGAGTCTCATCTCTAATTGATTTCAGTTTCAAATCACTAAACTCATGAATTATGGTATTCTTCATCCATTTAAACTTTGTTAAACTTGCCCACGTGGCCATTCATCTTCAACATGCTGGATAAGTAGTGTCTTCTGTCTACATCAATATTGCCTTTTACACACTGTCATTTCAGTACATAGCATGTTTCTCTGCTACTGCCCTGTCACACACATGATTCCCACTGAACTGTCACAATCTCTGTAGGCCAGGAACTCCACCATAATTATGTTTATAGTTTATTCTGGATACTTAAAATGCTCTTTGCTATGTAGATGCCCAGGACAATACCCTGGTATCACAAGATAGGGAAAACTAATTGCTTTCACATATATGAACCAGAAAATACCTCTTTATGTTTCTTAATTAAAGTTAAATTCTCTAGTGTTAAAATCAATAGTATAGCAATTAATAAATACATTTTTTAAAAGTGCTACTAAGGCAAAATGTTACACCATGTATAATCCAGATTCAATTCTCTAAATACAGTATTTTAACATTTTATTATAATATAAAACTGTAGTCCCAAGTATTTAGTTATGACTCCCAACTAGATTCTCTTTAACATACTTATAAGCCATGAAGACTTTGTGCCTATTGAGAGTTTATTCAAGACCGTGAATGAAACAGTTTTGTAAAAAACTGCTGTCTAAGAGAGACTTCACAAATTCAGATTCTTATTCTTTTGGCTTCAATAAAAATTTAATGTCTTAATTGTGATGAAGATAATCTTTTGTGTGAGGGAGAAATACATATATATATTATAATGATGTCGCTTTATTCTGTTTCAAATATTTACCTACTATTTCCCTCCTTCCTCTATTGTCAATTAGTGGGATATTTGCCAATAAAAGTAAAACATCATAGATTTATGACAACGAGCTTTATAATGTAAATGTATTAGAGATTCATAGATCTAAACACTTGGAGGCAGCTAGGTGTATATCTGGCACTTTGCACATAAGGAGCATAATGAGAATTAGAAAAATCAAATAAGAAAGTATGATCCTAGCTTTGTCATAAATTACTATATAAGTTAGGATCTGTCATTTCTTCTGTCTAGATCCAAGATATTTACTTGAAAAACCTGAACAGGAAGTGGGACAGGCTTCTCTCGAGGGTAATTGTGTCAGTATTCCAAAATGCCCTCACAGATCCTTAGGAGCCACTGCGTCACTCACCAGGCTCAGCTGGACGAGGCCAATCCTGTCACCAAGTTCAATCATTTTAAAGTTTCAAAATCATTAGATAGAAGAGCCCATTTGTATAGCAGCCTACAATAGTAGTACCCATCATCAAAGCTTAATATTCACCATATAAAGTAAACTTATAGCAAGGTAGCAGTTTTTAAAAGAACCACCTACAGAAAAATGTTTGACCTAATCCATTCATCACTGCTGGGAGATAAAGTCACACATTAAAACAGTTGAATGGGACAGACTTTATTCTGAAAAATAACATTTTAGTGATGTGGGTAATTCTGCAGCCTATATGTAAATTTTCCGGGTGCAAGGATATCTTATTTTACTGAGAATTTTTTATTTATTTCTCAGTACTAAGAATATATTGAGAAGGAAACATATGCTTCTGTACTTAACATTTTTAAAAATAACCTTCCATTGCTCTCCTAAGTAATGCAGTCATCTACTCCTGTGTGTGTGTTAATTATTTGGATCATAAAAATACATTTTGACATTTCTGTCATCAAAACAGTCATGTCAAAAAAACATCTAAAAATGTCATTTACGCTGCCCATGAAGATGCCTTTTTTAGTTGATAATTCATTCCTGCAGATAAAACTGTTCCCTGAAATGGTGTGTTAGTTTAAAGGCTGGTCTTCACACAAGCCCTTTTAGCACCAGAGCGTAGGTTGAGGGTCCACAGACTTCTCCCATATAATATTTACACTCAAATTTTTGGGTTTTCTGTTCCTTCTGTTGTTTGCTCAGCTGTTTATATTCAGAAATGCAGCTTGTGTGACCACAGGACAGTAATATGGATGCGAGGAGGGTGCACAGCCAGCTCCTAGGGAATTCACACATGAGGCATCCAGCTACTAACTATGAAATTGTATCGCAGGGAAATTCTTCTGACCCGTCCTCCTCTCTGGAGGGCACAGTCCCTCAGGAGCACTTACCAAGATTAGAACTGTGTGTTAACCCAGAAGCTCCAAAAGACGCCCAGGCCAAAGAATTCCCTGTGGCTTAGAAAGTTAACTTTACTCAGGCAACGAGTTAAAATCTGGCTTCAGGCTGTGACTTCAGGGAATAGAGGTCACTGGCCAGGTGTCTTTGAAACTGCCAGGCTCCCATGGCCAACACATGGCATCCTAAACAGAGATGCCATCCCAGAAGACCAGATCCCAAGTCACCCATTTGCAGAGAGCTGTATTGCTGTGTTTAGCTTCACAGTGAGAATTAAATGCAGAGCCGTCTGCGAGGCAGGACCTAGGATCAGGTGAGAGGAATCTGCACTCCCAGGGTGGAGACTGGCCTGTGGAGAGGTTTGCGAGGAAGAGGAGGAGGGAGAGTTTCCTGAGTAGACCCAGAGTCTGGCCATGGTGTTTTCTCATGTATTTGTGGCTTTCCATGAGAAAGAAAATATTCTGTGCTGTTTTTAGAAGAACTGGGTCTCTTATGTGTGAAGAATTACTGGCCCAAGACAAGTCCATCCAGGGCAGCAGAGAGAAACGGATGTGTTCTGTACCATATAAAACAGGCAACTCGGTGGGTCAGATATTTCTCTGAAGGTTTTTTCTCCCTTTTTCCCAGCTTCTTCCAGCTCTGTTCCTCCCTCCTCTTCAGGTCTCCTCTGGGCTCTCTAAGGTATGTCCTTTCCCCAGAATCTCCTTCCCTCCGTGCCTCCTGATGCCCATCTCTCTCTGCCTCAGTGCACAGCTGTCTTCCATCAGGTGGGATTCTGTGCTCAGCTGCCCAGGAAGCGCGCGTCTCCTTCCTGAGTGACATTGAGCATTGGCAATAGAGACTCTTTGCTTTCTGTGCAGAAGCTGCCTGGCCTGGGGCCCTGAATGTTTAGGGAGAGTGAAATTCCTCAGCCTAAACTTCCTTTCAGAGGAGAAGAGGGGAGAACATGTCAGAGCAGATAGTGGGCTCCTAGTGGCCAACACTTATCCTCTTTTCTGAGACCCAGAATCTAATGTTACTGAAAACCACTACTGCCGACCTCAGCCATGGACTCTGCTGAGGGAGGAGGTGGAGGGACCAGGAAGGAGGGTAAGAGCCACTGCAGGTTTCGGAGGTGGGAAATCGAGTGCATGAAACTTTGTCTTTCCTGCTCTATTAGCACCTGCTTCCTCACACTTCTCTTCTGTATGGATCCCTGCCCCCAGGAACATAGGTATGCACACCGCCCCCTTGAAGCCCCCATTCTGGTCAATCTGTCCAGTCCTTCCTGGAAGCTGTGGTGTTCTCACCCTCCTTAGCCCCCAGACCTTAGTCAGCTAGCAATTCACTCACTTAATCACTCATTAACAGTTTCTGGGTCATTAACACTTTCTGAGTGGAGTGGACTGAAGTGCTAGCACTTGTTTTATTTTTCCAAAAGGAAAACCTCACTGCCTGATGCCTTGGGAAAGCTATACATCTTCTGTGCATGAAGGAGTTACATGTGAACCCAGATTCATGTGCTGTGCCTCCCAGAGTTATTTCAGTTTTTCTGTAGCTACACACTTATATTAATGGAATAAATATTTAGTGGCTGAATTTTAGCCATTGCCAATGGCGATTATTCTGGATGAGCCTCATTTGGGTGGTGAGGCCACTGAGGGAGTAGCGGGAGTTCTGACAGGAGAAAGAAGTTAATCTTAGATGATGGAGGCTCTTAAATGTCAAGCAGAAGGTTTAAAATTATTCCATGGGCAGGGACTAAAAGCACTGAGACATCTCCCAAAAGAAGCCTAACTTAGGTGGAAAATTGGATTCTTTTCAGGGACCTCCAGTATTCTCACCTGTAAAACAGACATTCTCTTTCATTGCTACCAAATTCCTGTCCACCTCTCCACACACATAATTTCACACACTGGCCTCTCAATCTGACTTCTAGAATTAAAACAGACAGTATATATAACTGCCATGTAAATGATGAAATCTAAGCAATCTTAATTTGCTCTTAGCACTAATCAGATACGGAGAGGTGTTGAATAAATAATTGAAGAATGAGGGAGAGCAGAGGAGGGGTGAGGGGCAGCCACTCTCAGGAGCACACTGGAGTGCATGTGAGATGCTGGAGCTGACAGCAGCAGGCCCAGAGGAAGAAGGTAGTGTAGACGGACATAGCTCTTAGATTAGAATTAGGACAGGAAGTCATTAAGCACAGCTGATTATGTGGATTCAGTACCTGTGAGGTGGATAGCGGGTTTGGTCTGAGAGAAAAACGCATGGAGGAAACCAGGTAGGAGCTTTAAAATATTGATGAAACAAAACAATGTATTGGGAGAGAATGGGGACGTCTTGGGACTTTGGCAAGGGCACTGAAGGCTCTGCCCACTTCCTGTTCTTATTCCAAAGGAACAAAGGAACCGAATGGCTCTGGGGAACCACAGCGCCGTCACAGAGTTCATCCTCCTGGGGCTGTCTGCAGACCCCCGTGTCCAGCCCTTGCTCTTTGCGCTGTTCCTAATGATTTACCTCCAGACCCTGCTGGGGAACCTGACGCTGCTGCTGGTGATCAGGGCTGATTCCCACCTCCACACCCCCATGTACTTCTTCCTGAGTCACCTCTCTTCCTTGGACCTTTGTTTCTCTTCGGCTACAGTGCCCAAGCTGCTGGAGAACCTCCTGTCTCAGAGGAAAACCATCTCTGTCCAGGGTTGCCTGGCTCAAGTCTTTTTTGTGTTTGATTCGGGGGGCACTGAAGCCTGCCTGCTCTCAGTGATGGCCTATGACCGCTACGTTGCCATCTGCCACCCTCTGCTCTATGGCCAGAAGATAACCAACAAGCTCTGTAATGGGCTAGTGTGGGGCTCCTGGGGCCTGGGATTTCTGGACGCACTCATCAACATCCTTCCAGCTATGAGCTTGGACTTCTGTAAGGATCAGTCCATCCCCCACTACAGCTGTGAGCTGCCCTCTCTCTTCCCTCTGTCCTGCTCTGAT